CCCATCACCTCTAGACCCACCCAACTCCCCTCTCATACATACATACGGCACCTTCTTCCCAGCTGTATGGCTCCCCTACAGGAGATCTTTCCCTCCCCATCCCACACCATGCCACATGATGATTCCTCTGCCCATTTGGACAAAAAGCAACCAACTATGCACTCCCCTCATCCCTTCCATGCCCCACATGCCTGACAGCCCTAACCAAACCCTCATACCATTTATTACATGCCCCCCCCACAACCCACCCCACAATAGAGGGGTTGAAATCAGTTAAGTGTGTTCCTAGTTAAGTCTAACACTTGAGTCCATCTCTCTATTTCTGTAGACGGTGGGCAATGTATACCTCTGCCGGCGTGGATTCAAACACTGGCTTGGAATTATTTTTCCCACATCCCCTGATCTGACATAGGCAGGTAGAGGCACCAATTGGTGCTTCCCACAAGTCTGTGCTGGGGCTGAATGTTGGTGCAATTATAAGATTCTTCTGCCCCCACCCAGCCCTTTTTTCCTTTGAGTTAACCTGCTCGCCCTGGGTCCAGTGTGGCTGAGGTGGTCGCTTTGGGGCCGGATAGGAATTTTGGGTCCGTCTCACCTGATTGGCACATAAAAGGTGGGCGGACGTATTTTTGCCTATTCCACACTGTTTACCCATAGGATTCTGAGGGCTATTCTAGGTTTGAGTCACATTTAAATAGGTCAAACTATCAGGTAGTGCAGAAGAGAAGGTGAGTTTCAGTGAGCTCCCAAAAAGTAAATGGGGTCCTAATGCACCCAGCATCACAGCAACTAGGATCTAGCATTTCACTTGCTGGGATTTGGAGATGAATAAGGTATAGTCCCATCCATAGCATGTCTTAGTTCTAGACAATTGGATGGATGGCAGATAGGGAGATTTTTCTTCCCAGTCTGTGGCCAGCTGGGTACAAGCTGTTCAGGGGACAGCTCTGACCAGGGGCTTGGGACTCACCCGCTTAGGATTGGAGAGGGGGTAAGAGATACCCCTAGAGCCTGCCCCAGGGATCCACATGACATCCAGGCCCCTCTGCAGGATGAGAGTGATTGGAGGTTAAAAGCAATAAAGTGTGGTCCTAGTTAACTCCAACACCTGTGTCCGTCTCTTTATTTCGGGAGGGGGTGGGCAGCGATTAAATAACAGTGGTGGAGGAAAACACTGAATATTAATTTCATGAACTTTAAAATATCATGTGAATAAATCTAGTGTTTTGGAAATTCATAGTATTACTGTATAGTTCAAAGTGTCAATAGTCAACAAGGGACCACAGCGGAATATTTTAACCAAAGAAAATTCTCAAATGCTTTCCAGACAGTTTACATGTCTCCTGTACATTTTCTCTTTTGCATTCTTTTAGCAGCTCCACAGTTCATCCCAAAAGCAATCTTGACTGCCACTAGCAAAGTTCCATCTCCCACCCCTCCAAATGTAGAATGTCCACAAGAATAATCACAGGCCTGACACTATACTGATTTCCTACTGATTCTGCTTCTTATCACACAAGAGGTGAATTATTGAGACAGGGCTCACATGATCAGCATTTCTGATTTATCAAGAAAACATCAAACTAGTGGCATTCCCATTTGGACATAAGAAACAAAGCTCTCCTTTTTCTCTTGATCCTGAAGGATAGAGATCCAAGGGTTGGACCCTTATAAATTTTAAACAGAAGTTTCCAAGAGCTGCACATGGAGATGGTATTTGCAGCAATCTGTGACAGATTGTTACCACTGATCAAACAGGTAAAAGGCAAAATCAATGGAAGAAGCAGTGCAGGAATAATCAATTATTGGTCTGGATACAACACAATATCAGTGTTTAGAGTTGTTGCATGCATGGTCAGAATGGCCACAACGACATCCAGCCTCTAATAGGAAAGGGATGAGAAGACCGCTGTCTCTTCAATCGGACGTGTTGGAGTAAGATGTTCCTTGCTTAAAAATTGACTTTCCTTTTTTTCCTCTTTTAGTTTGCATTTTATTAGGCAGAAGGGGATGGGTGATTCAGAAGTCGTACACTGGGGAATGGAAAGGAATAGTGGAGTACTGGATGGTAGAACTATTTGTGGTACATGGTGGGTCCTACATACAACTTTGTTCTCTCAGGCATGTCTTCAGGCATGTTGCGCTTGCGAGTGGCCGTGTTGCACTTGTGCAAGCACGACATGCCCATCCGCAAGCATGACATCCCCATGCATGCGTGCAGGGGTGGTGGTGGAGATCCATGTACACGGCCCAGTGAAAGGAAGCCCACGGACCAGTGCCAGGCCACAGACCAGGGGTTGACGACCCCTGCTCTAACATAATGTTAAAACTAGAATAGGCCCATTTGAATCCATAAGATTCACACTATGCAACATGATTTCAGCCAAGAGAAGAGACACCAAATCTCCTGATTCCCCTTGTCTCTTTGTCCTATGTAGGAAAAGCACCACAGTTCAAGTGTATAACATATACTCTGCATTTCCAGTGCTAGGAGCATATAGTCCCAATCATGAGAATACAGGAGGATACAGTGTGGTGCACTGGATAGAGTGAAGGACTAAGGAGACCTGGGTTGAATTTCTGTTCAGCCATGGAAACTCACTGGAAGGTACTAGAATTAGTAAAACCATTCTTTAAACATCTCTCTTACCTTGAAAGTCGTTTTAGGGTCACTGTAAGCAAGTCCCTCCCGACTTGAGGGAACATAACACACACATCTAACACCACCTAGGCCAATGGTTCCGAACCTTGGGCCCCAGATGTTCTTGGGCTGCAACTCCCAGAAGCCTTCACCACTAGCTGTGCTAGCCAGGGTTTCTGTGAGTTGTAGTCCATCTGGGGACTCAACAATGGGAATCACTGATCTAGTTGAATACTTTGTACTCTTGACTGGTAACATTATTGAGTGACTTTCTCATCAACCGTTACCTGTTCTTTTCAACAGGAGAGCCTGAGGATTGAACCTTAAGCCTATTTCACATAAACCATTTCCTTTCCTCATGAGCTATAGGCCCTTCTATTATTAGATTTATTCACCATGATCTAAAGACTTGGGTACAACATACAGGCACCATGGCTTTTAAAAGTTGCAAGTCTTTCTACCATCTTCTTCAGATGGAAATGAAAAGTTATAGCTCATGAAATGCTTCAGAGAGCCAGAATCATGTTTTACTCAAAGAACTAAATGGAATGAAAGTATTGAGATCTTACTCTGTTTCCATTATCAGCAGGTCTGGCTGGCATCAGCATGTGATACCTTTGGAATGGACTGCTAGGCCCACTACTTACATCTGTCCTGGGCCCCATTTCTAATACATATCTTTTTTTCTAGATGGGCACATAAAGCAACATCAGATCATTGTGTGCAGCCTCCACTTTAATTGTAGAATAATGAAGTTGGAAGGGGCCTATAAGGCCATCAAGTCCAATCCCCTGCTCAATGCAGGAATACAAATCAAAGGATACCTGCCAGGAGGTTCTCTAAATTTCTCTTGAATGCCTCCAGTGTTGGAGCACTCACCACCCCTCAAGGAAATTGGTTCCATTGTCATACTGCTCTAACAGTTAGGAAATTTTTCCAGATATGCAACCCAAATCTGACTTCCTGTAATTTGAATGCATCGTTGCGTGCCCAGTTTTCCCCAATAGCCCCAGTCTTGGTCACTTGTAATTGGTGAGAATACACAGCAGGTGGGGCTCACCTGGCACAAGACATCAACACAATGACAGTCTTCCTCCTGCTATTGTTATGTGCTGTCAAGTCACTTCCTATCATTAACAAGACTGCTCAGGTCTTCAAAAGTGCTTTATTTAGCTTAGACCATCTCAAGTTAGACCATCCTCTGTCACCATTGCCTCCCACTTTCCCTAACATTACTGCTTTTCCTAATGAGTCTTTCTTTGTTTCTTTAATTTGTATTCCACCTTTTTTCCCTCCCTTATCTCTTCATAATATGTACAAAATAAAATAACCTTAATCATTTTAACTTCTAATGGGAGTTAAGGCTTTATTCACTCCGCAAAATCTTTCTAGCAATCAGTGGTATCAGTGAAGCTCTCCTCTAGCACCACATCCCAAATGAGTCTTTTTTCTTTTCTTTTTGTCTTCTCAGGTTTCTTCATTGTTTTTGCATTCATGCGCAGTATCCTAATCACCACTGCATGGATGACCTTGGCCTTGGTCACCTAAGGAACTCTTCCAGTTCCAGCTCATTAGTATTCTTTTTGAAGGACACAGTTTTCATTGAACTTACTTACATCTATATAGTTGGCATTTATGTAGTCTGAATGGGGATCTCCATCCAGCAACTGCAATCTCACCCTGGAGTGATCATCTAAAAATAATAAAAGGAAAATGTAGCATTATTTAAAGAAAGGAAATCGAAAGGCATACAACACCCCCCACCCCCACACCCCCAGAATAGTTTTTTTAAAAAGGAACAAAGAACATGGAAAACTCTGGGGAAAGGGTGTGATTTTGCTAAAAACCTCGACAGATTCCTATATTCAGAAAACTATTTTGTCATTTGTCTCAGACACAGCCTTCACATTCTCAGCCATGTTTAGTGCAGCCACTCATTTATAAATGCTTTGGTCCAGACTTAACATTTCATTCTAAATGCTTTAAAATATTAGCTTTTTTTCAAATACTAGCTTTTCCGAGTCATTGTTGGAACACTGCAGAAGAGAATCATGCTCACACACAGATAATGTACATGCATACACAAAATGTCCCTATATCAAATCTAGCTCATCATCTTTTTTTTAGGTGGCTAGAGGCTTGAACTTTTCACTACCTTTTTCAGCTTGAGAACCTAGACTCTTATTTTATATACTGAAAAGGAAGGCAGATAACAGACTTGGAAATTGTCCAAGGGAGAAAGAAGCTAAATTATCATTATTAATTTTGGAGTTTTATTTGCCACCTCTCATGATGACTATATTTTGTGTGACTGGCAGGGACTTTTCTGAGCAGTGGTGATTGTATATCCAGGACTAACCAATCATTCCTTCCAGCCTTTATTTTCAAATAGCGCCTCATCTCTCTGCTGAGCGCTTTTCTCAACTTCTCTTTTGTCTGTTTGCTGTTGGTTGTTAAATATATGTTCAGTAAAGTGGTCCGGTGGTCCAGATAGGTGGGGTATAAATAAAATAAAAATTTCAAGAAACTATAAGTAAAAAAATGGTTTTTATTCTTTCTCTTACAAATGTTTCAGAGGGAGTTAAGTGCCAGTTAATGAGAAAAAGGGTGGACTCGGGGGACTTGTTGATATTCCTCTCTGTGGACCTCTTTACTTCTCCTGTGTAGCAAAAAGGAATGTAACCATAAATTTAAAACTCTGCAACAATTAGCATTCATTCCCCTCTCCCCCACCACACACACCCCTACAATGACTCTGCACTGTAAAGACATTTTAAAGAAGAAACTTTGGTTATCCAGGAGCATAGATTTAAAAAGGTAAGGAAAGCAGAGAGGAAGAGCAAGGATCCATGATTGGACAAAAGCATTTCAATACACAACTAAACAAGGTTATGAGAAGCATGTCCACAGCACAGAATATTATAATGAAACAAGAAAGAACCTACATCTTAGTTAAGCATTTGTGAGAACTGGCCATTTATTATAGAATATGTTTTCATGAAATGTGAAAATAAATCTTAAAATGCTGGAGATTTTATTTTCATTTTGTGGTCTGGCCTTCTGGGTTTTAAGAGTTCTTGGTAATAAATGCTGTTGCCAAGGCTCTGCACGCTGCAATGGTTAAGACGTTTTATCTCCCATGGGGATTTATTTTGCTCAAAAGTGTGAACAGCAAGAAAGAACTCTTTGCTTATAAAGCAAAGCTAAGAAATACTAATGATCATCGCTCACTCTTCAGAAGGTAATGAGGCCTTTTATTTTACTCATAGTTTTAGTACGCTATGCTTGGTTAAAGCTAACACTATAACTTCCTAAATTCTTCATTTTATATGTATGGAAGCAGTTGGGAAGATATAAATATATTTCATTGCGCAACAAAAGGTTTATGTATTATTAATCCCTAATAACTAGCAGTGAAATAGAATCCCCTGAAAATAGACTGAGATACTGAAATCTGCCCATACAGAGAAATGTCTACCATCCAGCTGAGTCCTTCATGCATAACTCTTGAGTTGCCCTTTCAGCATACAGGCCTCACAGCACCAATTCTACAGAAATTGTCCATAACTGCTACTTCACTAGTCAAAGAGTTTCACTATACTTTCTGTTCTTATGGTGAGTAGAAAATGCAGCAAAGGAAGTGTCTTGGAAGCTGTGTCTCTCTTTGTTAAACTTGCTGCTGAGCCCTGGAGAGGGACACTGGGTCACCAGGTTCAAATTATGCCCATCCTTCTTTAGCCACTAGTGATGCATTCTGCAACCCTAGATACATCAACCTGCAAGGCCACATATAGAGCTTCATAGTCAAGTACAAGATTGCCCAGTAAGATTATGTGGAGAGACTGAGCAGGGCTGCATTGGCACCAAGGCATCACTACTGGCCAAGTCTGCAACAGGGAAGGCTGCTGATGGTATAAATAGGTTCCTTTGGTGAGGTAGGACTTGGATCACACAGGGATCCATGTCAGAGACAGAGCCTGCATGCATTCAGCAAAAAAGCGAACACAAAATTACTATGGCCCCTATGAGACTAGCACATTTATTTTAGCGCAGGCTTTTGTGGATTACAGCACACTTTCTCAGACACAAAAACTCACTCCAGGAGAGTCACACTGAAGCAATTTGGTAGTCTTAAAGATGCTACAATACTTTCCTGCATTTTGTTTTTGCTGAAACACAGGAACACACATGTCTTTCTTAAAACCACACACATTCAGCAGGCTTCTCTGTGGCAAACATGCTTACATATAGACAATGTGAGGCCAGAGTCAGCAGGAGATATAACGGCAATGGTGAGGATGATTGACTAATTAAAGAAGAGGGCTCTTTTTTTCCAACCTTAAGGTATTATAAGCACATTCGGTTATAACTGAGGCCCAGTGAAAGGAGGTTGGGAAACGACAAGATGCCACCTTCGTAATTAGAAGGTAATAAAACATTATCTCTCCAAAGATACAATTTTTCAAAGCTTTCTTGGCTGCTCGTTCAACTTGCAAATGAATTTCATGCTTATCTCTCAGTGATTAATTACTGACCAGAAGCATGCTAATTTGAAATGCAAAACTGTGAAATATCACAGCATGAGAAATAAACATCATTTATCTGTTAAGGGAGCTTCATTTCCAACTACAAAGTTGGCTTCACATCTGTATCTGCCCTGGCATAAGGTTCACTGCTTTCAGTTGGGTTTAGCCACAGATTTAGACCTACAGTATTTGAATTAGTTATGATTTGAGAGAATGGTCTGAAGGCATGACATTCCTCTTTACTGATGCAGCTAACCTAAGCAGGTACAGTCCCTTCAGGCAGTTTAGATAGCTTGATGCCAAGAAGCCATGTTGCTTTGAATTATTTTTCTTGAGAAAGGCAGGGAACTGTTTTTGTTTATTTAAACATTAGCCCAGTATAAATGAATTGTTAAGGAATTACTGAGCTTCGTATTTTATATTGTAATGTATTATGGCTCTTGTAGTTCGTCATATGTAATGTTATACCAGATAGCTGACATTTTCTGCTTTGGGCACAGTTGTATTTGTAGAAAATATCATTATAAATAAAACATGTGCAATTAATAAACAACAAATACAATTTGAATCTTATTGGCTTGGAAAAAATCTATGATATAAAAGATTAGAAGACAGCAAAAAGCTTCCAAGCAATTGTAAATGGAGCACTGTAAGGCATTAGCCTTGAACTGGCCTAACTTCAGTCATGCAGCAACACACTGAACATGATCTGATGCTTCTATTGATGCCCCCGAATTTGTTTATTTGCTGTATTTTCTATTATTGCATAATTCATGCCATTTTAAAGAAACCCCATTATCAACGTATTACTTCAGTCCAACAGTCCAATTGTCATTATATTCTTATTTATTTAAAACACTTTCATATTTACATTCTCTATGTTTTCTTATATATTCATCTCCCTCTTCTTCCCCTGCCATTCTTCATTGCCATCATCCTGTGGACTGAATTTAGGGCCTGTTCAGATGGAGGAATTTGGAGTACTTTAGTTCACCATTAAAAAGTTAGTGCAGTCTATTTTGCCTTTCACTTGACCAATTCTTGCATTCACAATGGATATGATTATTCTCATGTGACAAGGATAGATCATAGGTTTTTGGACTGTTGGTTTGCTGGTAAGCAAGGTTTACCTCATTTACTCATAAGTAAAGAGGCAGCGGCAGTGTGGCAAGCTTGCAGTGATGGCACTGGTGGTAATGGCATGAGAGGAAAATATGGGGTGAAGACTGGGTAGATGGAAGAGAGTTAAGGTCCCCTTTCCCCCACGTTGGGCTTGGATAGGGCTGCTCTGCCTTGTAGGAGTGGAGCCCATTGAGTTGGCATAGCCTCCCTCGCTTTTTCTCATGGCCATTTTTCAGCAGGTCACAGTGATTGTCCTTTTGTTAAATAATCAAGTGGCATATTGAAGGTAAAGGTTCCCCTCGACAATTTTTGTCCAGTCATATTCGACTCTAGGGGGCGGTGCTCATCCCCGTTTCCAAGCCATAGAGCCAGCGTTTTGTCCAAAGACAATCTTCCGTGGTCACATGGCCAGTGCGACTTAAACACAGAACGCTGTTACCTTCCCACCAAAGTGGTCCCTATTTATCTACTTGCATTTGCATGCTTTCGAACCGCTAGGTTGGCGGGAGCTGGGACAAGCGACGGGGGCTCACTCCGTTGCGTGGATTCGATCTTATGACTGCTTGGTCTTCTGACCCTGCAGTACAGGCTTCTGCGGTTTAGCCAGCAGCGCCACCACGTCCCTATTGAAATAGCAGTGCATCAATCTAGCATGGTATCAGAATTGTGCTGTGTCAGTTTGAGAAATATTTTTTTAAAAGAAGATGAAAACAGAGGATGAGGTTTTTCTCAGACCTCCCTTTCAATGTCACAACCAACATAATATGTCACATGCTTGTCACTTCAGATAATGCCGCCCACAGCTTCATTTGGGTACAAAATAACCATCCGTATAGGTTACACAACATAATAGAAGTGCACTGAATAGCACCACTCTCCCTCCTGTGAAATAAAACTGAACCAGAAGCTCTAGCACTATGCGAGAGAGGAGTGGGCCAGCTCTTAAGGGGGCAGGATGCATCGATCTAAGTAGAAACACATGTTGATGCCATAATTTGGTTTGAACCAAACCACACCAAAAGTAATTAAAATAATGATTAATATA